AAGGGTGGGGGTGGGGACGGTTTAAGAGTGATTATATTCTGTAAGTAGACTGTGGAGAACTAGAGGGTATTGTTAACAACAAGAGTTGGAATATAAGGAATAGGGTGGGAGAAGGATAAGAAGAAGAGGAAACACAGGAGTTGGAATATAAGGAATAAGGTGGGAGAAGTATAGAAAAAAAGAAGCAAGAGTTGGAATATAAGGAATTGGGTGAGAGAAGGATAGAAGAAGAGGAAACAAGAGTTGGAATATAAAGAATAGGGTGGGAGAAGTATAGAAGAAAAGAAGCAAGAGTTGGAATATAAGGAATTGGGTGAGAAAAGGATAGAAGAAGAGGAAACACGAGTTGGAATATAAGGAATAGAGTGGGAGAAGGATAGAAGAAGAGGAAACAAGAGTTGGAATATAAGGAATAGAGTGGGAGAAGGATAGAAGAAGAGGAAACAAGAGTTGGAATATAAGGAATAGGGTGGGAGAAGGATAGCAGAAGAGAAAAGAAGAGTTGGAATATCAGGAATAGGGTGGGAGAAGGATAGCAGAAGAGAAAAGAAGAGTTGGAATATAAGGAATTGGATAGGCTTTAAACCTTTATTAGTTCAAAAATGTGGAAGATATTTAAAAACGTTAAATTCTAATAATTACTGCATGTTTTCCTGCACTAGAAATGCGCATGCGAGTTATTAAAGAATGATTAGGGAATGAGGAGGAATGAGAAGTGATCAAGAATGAGGAAGTATTAGAATGTGTAATGAGGAATAAAGAAATATGAAGACGAATTTAAGGGATGAGGGAAATTGAGGAATATCTCAGCCGAGGAATAAGATGAGTAACTTTAAATATAAGTGGAGGAAAAAGGAGCAATAAGGACGAAAAAATAGAGAACTAAGGAACGCAAAGTGAACATGGACAAACGAGTAATGAGGATGAATGAGGGTTGAATGAATAAGAATGAAGAGAATTAAGAAGAATATAGAGGAATAAAGAGGAACAAAGAGGAATAAGAAAGACTAAGGAGGAATAAGAAGGAATAAGGAGGAATAAGAAGGAATAAGGAGGAATAAGAAAGAATAAGGAGGAATACTAAGGAATAAGGACGAATATTAAGGAATAACGAGGATTTATTTACAAGTATAAAGTTTGAAGGAACTGGCTGTAAACATGAATATTTATATTTTAGTATTGAAACTAACCCTGAATTTGGGATCAAAAGTTCAAAATTTTGGACATAATATACAGCAGGAGGGGGGGGGGG